AAGTATGGGGCATCACTTCAGATGTTTGCCAACAAAATTAGCAATGTAAACTCACTTTTAGGAGGAAAGCAATCAAATAGCTATCATCCTTATTCTCTCCAAGAAGACCCAATTTTGTTTTGAAGAGTTCTGTGAAACTGAAAATAGGAACAAAGTGAGGGAATTGTTACATAATACAATTTATAGTATTGTGACAAGAAGGTTTGAGTTCTGAACCTGCGTACCGGATATAGTAGTGCTCACCATACCCCTCCAAAATCTGGGAAGCTCTGCAAAAACAAAAGAAACATCTCTATGAAACTAAATCAAACTCTATGAAACTAAATCAAACTCTATGAAACTAAAATGCTAGTGTGGGTATAATCCTACTGCACACTAAAAAACATGAATTTCTTCACTCTGACATCTCAGAGTATAATCCTACTGCACACTAAAAAACAAGAATTTCTTCGCTCTGACATCTCAGCAACATTGATATTCTGAAGACTGAGGGGAAACATTTTAACAAGCTTCAAATACACAAAGAGCTGCTGCAAAGAAGGAAAAGACAATGTTCTTCTTTTTTATGCTGAGTAAGTAGCCATGATTTTAAACCACACAAAAGAAGAGTCATATAAGAATCTTTACAACAGGCTATTAAAATACTACCTCATTTCTTCAGGAGGAGGCATGGTCTTCATAAGTAAGAATCTTAAAGAACAAGCTAAGACAAACTTAGAACAGAAAACTACAGGCAAAGGTCCTAACTTAGTGAAAGGAAAATGGATCACACAAGTACGTCCTTGTGGTCCTATTTTGCTATTATTCATGACTGAAGAAAACCTTTCCCCTCCCTCCAACCTTATTCTGGAGAATAATTAATCCAGAATCAACTTCCACCTATAAAAAAATATTTTAAAAGCTAATCCCCTTCTTTCCTATGCATATGGTGATTAGGGCATCTCTCATCTCACTAGTTCCTTTAAGCACTGAGATATTTTAAGGATTACTTACAGCTGCTTTTGCCTGGGATCCAATAAAGGTTTTAGAGCTTGTAACAGCTTGCTCAGGTTAAACAGTCCAACATTTGCCTGATTTCCTATTTTATATCTTCCTTCATCATCAGATGTATTTGGAACAAAATCTGTTTCAAACAAAACGTTAATTTCCCACAACACAGTAATTACAATAAACAGTCAATGTTAAAATATTGAAGTGCATCCATTTTTATACTTACACAGCGAACTAATTAAAGCCCTAAAGCTACTAAATATTTAAAACCAGATCACAAGGATACTTATTTACAGTGAATTAACTCAAGATCTATTATTTGCAAATCTAAGGAATACATCCTTCACAGACCAGTTACCATGTATCACAAGTGACACTTTCCTACTTGAAAACACAAAATAAATTCAAAGTTTTAAAGAGAAAAGGACCATTTTTACACTACAAACAATGCCTTTTACACTTAAAACCAATGTTTTTACTACATAGAGTGCTACTATTTAGCACACGTTAAGCAAACAAATGCACAACTAGATTCAGGATTTATAAGTATTTGTGGAAAAGTTACATGTATAAACGTATTTAATGGGCCACATAAGCAAGATTTGTTTCAGTTGTACAACCAAGTTTTGCGTATTCACACAAAAATTAGGGCTAATGCGTTCCAGTATGCAAACCCATTATTTGGGAAGTAACAAATATCTGCTATGCAAGTTACAGGTATCCAGAAGTAAAATTTATGCACATCTACAGTGCCAGTCTCTGAGTGGGTGCAGAATGAACCCTTGCTCAGGTCACATGCAGATAAGCTGATCAATGTACACAGCATTGTCCGAGTTGTCAGAGGACACAGATAACAAACAGAGCATTAAGGAGGAGACTTGTAACACATTTGTCAGATCTGGTGAGTGGCTCAAATCTGAAGCCTATCATCTGGTTCTCAGGTGCACTGGCTGTGGCTGGGACGGAGTTCGTTTTTTACACAGCAGCCTGCATGGTGCCATGTTTTAGACTTGTGACTATAGCAGTGTTGTTAAGACACCAACATTTGTCATACTGCTGAGCAGTGCTGGCACAGCACCAAGGCCACCTCCGTTCTCAAGCTGCAACCCCAGAAAGGTAGGCTAGGGCTGGGCAAGAGGCTTGGGGGGATATATTTGGGTCAGCTGACCCCAGCTGACCACAGGGATATCACACACCCTATAACATCATGCTCAGCAATAAAAACTGGGGGTAGTTGTTGCTTGGGGACGGACACAGCACCAGTCTGGTGGTGGGAGGTAGTGAGTGATTGCCTTTGCATCACTTGTTGGTAGCCCCTGTCTCTCTTGTTTCCTTTCACTTATTCAACTGTCGTTATCTTAACCCATGAGCTTTTTCTCATCTTTGCTTTTCCAATTCTCTCCCTCAGCAGGGGAGTGAATGAGTGGCTTGTGGTTCCTTAAATGCCAGCTGGAGTCAACCCACCATATAAAGACCTAAACCCAGAAAAGCCTCACTTTTTTCAATACAATAGAAACAATATGACATTTATTCCCATGAGATTTCCTTAATCTGAGGCTGCAAGATCATGAAAACACACAGCGAGATAACTACTGCTGGTTCTGAAGCTTATTCAGATGCAACCACTAAACAAGGTGGTGGATTCACCACTCCTGGAGGTTTTCAAGATGAGACTGGATGTGGCACTTAGTGCCATGGTCTAGTAACCACGGTAGAGTTGGACTCGATGATCTGTGAGGTCTTTTCCAACACAACTGATTCTATGATCCTATGAATAATCTAATAATATGCATTTATGTACATACTGGACCTGTATCTATCAATCCCAGACAAAGTTCATACTTTCAAACACAAGTTGCCATGACTGTGTGGGTTTGATTTATGTTCTTCCAACATATAATTAGTTGCTGTGACTATACTAGACTATATATAGACTACATATACTAGACTATATACTAGAGCTTAATGCATGCAAAGCTACTGTATTCCACTTTTGCTATTGGATGCTTACAGCAATACACAATTTTTAGTTTTCTAGGATTCTATTGAAGCATCTATTCAACTGATGAAGTTCAAGTGGAAACATTCTCATGAAAATGTGTTTAACAGCAATATTTCATTAACAAGACTTTTAGCCCTTAAAATGCAACCTGTGTGGTGTATCCTCAAATTGGTCACTGCTAACAATTTTTTTCCCTAAAACTCTTCAAACAATACTCCTGCTTAGGATTTTTCTGCTGATAATGTTAGGGGTTTTCATGCACATAGAAACTACATAAATTAATATAAATAATTTAAGTAAAAAGAAATAAATTCAAAATAGGTTCTACACTCACTTGGGTCATAGGAGTCCATAAATCCAAATGGACCATAATCTATTGTTATGGATAATAAACTGAAGTTATCTGTATTGCACACACCTACAATCAAAGAAAAAAAAAAAAGGAGAAATAGAAGTTAAAATTCCACCTGAACCCTTTAAGTATATGACTATAGAGTCACCCCTGTAAAGCCAACACAGCTTACCATGTGCAAACCCCACAGACATCCACAATGCAATCAGATTTGCAGTCTCAGATACGACTGTAGAGAAAAATTCCTAAAATCAAATACATTTTTTACTTCCAGCCTTTTGTATCAAAAATACGGAATACATTAAATAACATAAACTTTCACTTTAGAAATACGTAATATATTCTATCTTTAGATTTTTATCTCTGTCAGGACTCTTCACATCCTAAATTATGTGAGTGCATGGTAACCTTATCCAGCAAAGACTACAGTTAAATAAGTACATACAGATGCCCTAAAAGGAATTAAGAAGTAAAAAGAAAAGAAATAAAGACACTATATACTAGTGTGTATACTAGAATATACTACATACATATACATAAATATACTACATAAATATACTAGATTTACATGAGAAAAAGCACAATTCATCACTTTGTGACCACTGCTCACTTATAATCTGAGCAGTAAGAGTCACTTATAATCTGAGCAGTAAGAGAACAAAAAATAACAGAAAATGGAAGCTTCACAATAAACATTTCCACGATGAAACGTGGTGAAGAATGTTCATATTGGACTTTAAGACAAAAAAAACTCAAGAAGCAGATTTTTACCGAAGAGAATTAACAAATTTTGCTAATAAAATCTGGAAGTTTACTTTAGATTTTAAAACTCAAAACTCTGAAAAGTTTTGTATTTTTGTTCATATGCTTGTGGAAAAATAAAAATAACTATGAATAAAGACTTACCAGATATCTATTTGAATCATTGATAGCTATTGATGGAAAATGTTCCTGGATGATAAAGTCTAGCAATCTTCTGGAATAGGAGAGGCATAATTCTTTAAACAAAACTGATACTTTTAGAACTGATTATTCAAAATTCTTCTTTTCAAATAACAAAATGCTGATCTACAGCTTGTTGCAAATAGTTATTAAAAAAACTGAATCTATTTATTCTGAGTATTGGCTTAAGCTCTTCCAAATACTTAGAGATAAAACCTAAGGTTTCAGAGATAAAAAATGACTGCTACATAGAGATAAAATTCTTCCTACTTGTAAAACCTCCGGAGCACACCAGGATCTGCTTTTGCATGCAGAGATACCCATTTTTTAGGAAAAAAAAAAGTTTGCATATCCAAAAAAAAAAAAAGGATATGATTATAAGGAATAATTCTACATCAGAATTCTCACAGTTACAGCAATGCACAACTGTTGCTATGAGCTCTTGCTCATGTTTAAGTATCCCAGAACAATTTCCATTGCTTCTGAGGAGAGATGGCCAACTTTTAAATATTTATAGTAGACCTAAAAATTTGTCATGCTGAGAGGCTTAAAACAGTGCCATAATTTCTTACCTAGCATACTTCTCTCTGGTTCTGCATGTTTCTGGAGAGCATACTTTATACAACATACTTACTCTAATGATTTATTTCCTATTTCTGCTAATTTAGCTTCACAGACAACTATGAGAAATGTAAGAACTTATACTTTCAATCTACAAATCTTTGCAAAACAAACAACTCCTCCCTAGTGCTTAGTTACCAGAACTATTCCAGCCCTAAAATTCTCCTCATTTTGTAAGATCCAGGCCTTCAAAAACATCTAGGGAGTTTTATCCTTGTGAGGTAAGATCTGTTGTATGCTTGTACAAAAATAGCAGGTTAACTTTCTAAATTATGTCATCTTACTTGCTAAATAATTTATGTCTAAATTCCAAATGCATACATGCATTCTACTATATATTAGATTGTTGAGAAAACTATCATAGATACTATGAAGATTGAATTCAAACCTTTGTAAGTCCAGCTCCCCAGAATGAGCTAAGATTTCTAAGGATCCTATACGAAACCACGATTTGGCAAGACGTAGGACTATTGCACCTTAAATACAGAGACATATGTGTTTAAATGTAAACAGAACATCAACAAAATAAAATAGCTCCATAGTAAAAGCCATCATGTGTTGTTTCTACAGGCACAGAATTTATACATGCACAATTAAACTGGTATTTTTAAAGTATGCTCAATGTGCAACAGATGAATATGTACAATGTTACTTTACCACACACACATTTTAATGATAAAGCTTCATTTGCTACACCAGCAACCATAGGCAAAATTCCATTAGTGCATTAATATTAGAGTTACTCCACAGATGACAGCAACAAACCAAGAATCAACATAAACAGGTTTTTCCTCATGCTCATAGCATCACAGTAGGTTAAGGATAGGATGCTGTGCCACCCCACTCTTTTTCAGAGTAGGTGTAGATGATCTAGCAATGGCACAGCCACAGTAGAATTCCCACCATCCCAGTATTCCTATCAAAACAATGGAAAATTTCCCTATATCATTTTTATAATGACAAATGAAAATAAAAATTATATTGCTGCAACATATAATGCCACTCACACAGACCTGTTCACAGGGCTTCATTTCTTTAACCAAGACATGCTAAAAAATCAGACTGATTTTCTCAGGAGAGGTTTTATATCTTAGTAAATGAAATTAAGCCTATTTAGTACCTTTTATTATATTTTTGCATGAAGAATTCTGTTACAGTGTTGTGACCTGTTATTTTGAAATGTGTTCGTTACCTCTTTCTTTCTTAACATTTCCATTGTAGAACTGGTCCCTCCACACATCGTCATCACTCACAACTAAGCTGTATAACAAACGAAAAGTGAACATTAAAAAGTTTCATAAAAAGCAGGATATTTTTGCTAGCACAGCTTTGTATTTACAAATGACACAGGCAAAGAGTAAGCAGAGGCTTACCAAGTACCATTACTGGAGAGAAGGCAGCAGCACACCAGAGGTACACTCAACCATAGGAAATGGAGCTCTTTACACCTGAGAAGCTGGAACAGTATTCACAGAAGGATGGATGAATCATATCCTTCTCTACCCTGGGTCTTGCTTAGGGCTGGACCTTACACTCCCAAGTTCTGCATGAACATCAGGCCCTGTGCAAGTAAGGGCCACTCAGAAAACTAGGCACATTGGCTGACGTTTTTGACCTAATGCATAACACTGCTCACTGGTAGTCCCAGGACGTGATTAAAATGGTACTGTATGAAGTGTTCTTTATCCTGCAGTACAGTCATGAGCTGCAGCACCCCATTGGGAACACAGTACTTAAAACTAATAGAGCAAGCCAACCCGCTGGGTGTTCCGGGGTAAGCTGTAAGGCTTTTCCCCACATTTCTGCCAAGACTTGACAAGACTTCTGTAAGTGCATCCCACCAGCCTCAGTACAACAGCTCCCCATTGGGAAGAATATGGATGTCAGCTGGGGTTTTTCCAAATTAAGTCTTGCAAACAGTCTGGAGAGCTTGCACAGCAGTTAAGAAAGCCAGGCATTTAACCAATCTGCCAGCAGAGAACTAAAGCACACTGTGTGCTCAATAGAATTTGTACACAGTTAAGGAGTAATTTCATATTGCCTTTGCACTGAACAATATGTTGAGATGACAGCAAAGAG